CCCCAGCGTGCCCGATGCTGGGCACCCACCGGTGGGTGGCACGTAGCCGGGGGATTCTTGGCCCCCCAGGTCCTTAGGGTTTCATGCAAAGCCTGGCGTTGATTCAAGTAAACAGGAACTGGGCCAGATCCTCAACAATACGAGTTTTCCTTCAGACAGAAAAAAAATAAATAAATGCAAAGCTTTAAAAGAGTTTGTTTAAGCGTTGTTGGGACAAACAAGCCGGTGTAGATGGTGAAGAACAGCTTAAAGCAGTCAGACCTGTCCTGTAATAGCAGGGAAGGCCGAATATTTCCTAAAATTGCCCCTCCTGCATTACCTACTCCGCTCCTCAGGTCAGGGCTCAGTCTGCTCCGGAGCAGGGAGGAGGTGGGGGGGAGAATCTACAAAGGAAAGCTGAATAAGCATTGCTTGAAAGGGAGGAGGCAGGAATTCACCAAAGAGAAGAGGAGGAGGAGGGGGAGACGGCACAGGCTGTTTTTAGTACTGGCACCACCTTAGTCTGCAGCGGCCAGGAAACTGGTTGGAAGCCCCATGACTTGAGCAAGACACCCGGACCCAGGAGCCAGAAGAGGAAGGGACTTGGCAGAAATTCCCCTGCAAAGCAAGGAATCATTTCTGCAGCACAATATTCAGCTTGGCCTCTCCGCAAGCAAACCCTGCCAGATACCTGATCATGCCACCAGAATATTAGTGCTCTGCTCCCCTGCTGTAATACAGCCATGAATCTTCCTCACCCACTTCTATCTTCCAGTTGGTCTCTTTTAGTCAGCTCCCTCAGTCCTGATCTTCCTGCACTGCCCTGGGGCCATCACAGTGCTCAGGGACCCAGAGCAGCCCAGCTCCCACCCCCTGGCTTCCAGCTGCCCACCCTCATTCCTCCCACACTTGCCCTTTGGGCACCGTTGTCACTTCCCTGTCTCCCCCCCTCCATCAGGAGGCCACAGCTCACAGCACATGGAAAAATACTGCCCTGGACTTGCTAGGGTTAAAGGCAGAGAGGCCAAGCATCAAAGAGCCAACTCAGGGAAGCTTTGGCACCAGCAGGAAGCTGAGATAACCTGGCTGCTGCACTGCTAAACTGCTGCAGTTTATCTTTACCCTTCCTCTCTGGGACCAGCTGCGTACAGCACACACCACGGCGCAGTGGTATAAAGCCCCGGGCAGCTGGAACGTCTGCAGAGAAACACAGCAGATACGGCACTAATATAGCAGCACATTAATTCTCTGACTTGCCATACAGAAGGAGGCTCCATAGCAGGCAGCTGGAGTGCCTGGCACCCATACCATCACGGTGGCGTTGCACTTCTCCTATCCATCCTGCAGAAACGTTTGTGTCAGGGGCTGGTGGTGCCAGCAAACACCATAAAGGCAGTCTGAGAGGTTTATACACGTGCCAGCTACAACTTCAAGAAGAGAATACCACTTCAGATACAGATAAAGCACCTAAAAGCTTCACTGTACAGAAGACAGCCGTGTCCCGTTTTCTGAATGTGGCTCTTTCAAATTCATAAGAAATGAAGCAGGACAATTTTAACCTTTTAAGACATTTCCCAGGGCAAAACAACACACTGAATAATTTCCCTTCACTATAACCCATAGAAATAAAAATATCCCTTTTAGAAAAAGCTGTAATCAGCTGCATAGTGCATGTGTATACTTCTCCCCAGCAGACACAGAAAAGATAAATCTACACTGGAGTCATAGTCCTGTTTTAACATGCATCTAACAAGGCTGTCGATTCTAGTCCAGCTATGAATATCTGTTGGTAGAGGAATAAAATCCTAGCTAAAAGTTTAGAGCTAAAACATAACTGCCCTGGAAACTTCTTGTTAATGAACAAATGACTGTGTAAAATGTACACTAGCATTTACAATTGTATTTTAATTATCCTCTCTGTTGAAAAGAAGCATAAACATACCCAAATCCACTTGGAAGAGCTCTACGGGGAATTCTAAAAAATGAGACAGAAGAAAGCAAAGTTCACTTTGGACCTGATGCTTGCCACACTGTTTGAAGTTACGCAGAAACAGCCCCTCCAGCAACAGTTCTGGTTCCAGACCTTCTGTCCAATAACTCCTGCTGCAGACCAGACCCTGCATTCTTCCCCTTTTAAAAGAAATGCTTGCACAGGGAAGGCCTTGTGCCCACACCACAGGCTGGGTAACACCAGCAGGCACAGAGGATCTACATTAAATGGGTTTGATCGTGGCTGAAGGGAAAGACTGATAAGCAGGAAAGTAAGTTCAAATTTGTGTTGTTGGCTACTTTAAATGAGAACAGGTCCCTGTCTTTGGGTCTATGCCTAGTTTTTGCAAGCTAGCTGGGTTCTCATCCTGTCTTTCCACATGCTCACGCTGGCTATGAGTATAAGGCTCCTGAAAGGTACCAGATGTTTGGGGGATTGTTTGTTTGTTTGAACTCCCCTTGCAAAAACAACAATTAAAGAAGGGAAGAAGATTGGATGACTTAAGATTTACTTTCCAGCAGGGTGTGACTGAAGCAGGGAGGTAGCTTAGTAAATGCACTCAGGGAGGACTATAGGAAGGAACAGAAAAGTATGGAGAAACTCAACAAAAAAGGAGCAAGAAGGATAGATGTTTCCAGACATTAGTGGGGTGAAAAAAGGCCTGGAAGGGAAGAGACAGGAGTTTAATCCCTAGGCACAGTCTAAAAAGGACCCAGCAGACTGACAGCGGAAGCAATAGGTGAGAAAAGTGAGGGCAGGAGACAGCTCAGGAAGCTGGGCTCACTTTGTGATGAGCAGTCCAAATGTTGTGCTGGAACCTGGTTGGGTTAGTCTCTGCTGTGTTACTGAGGATTCCTCTCTGTCCTTCTAGAAGTTTGTAGCATTCAAGAGCTGTCTTTTACAGCGAACTTGTTACGCCTGCATGGAAGATCACAGTAACCAAGGTGAGCCACAGAGCTGTTGTTGGGGGTAAACCAGAAAAGGTGTGAAGGTAAATATGAATAAGTGTCAAAGGAATCCAAATTGATCCTGGGCTGTGGGACAGAGACAATCCAAGGAGGAAAGGATAATGTAGACAAAAGGAAAGCCCTGGAAGGAGAAAACAGAAGTTCTTTGAACTGAAATTCTGCTTTCCTTTAAAACACACACATTGCAACAGAGATGCGCACACGCACGCACACACACAAACAAGTCAAGTATCCACATGTACACAGTTGGTTCTGGATATTCCTTCTTTCTTTAATTGGTCCCAGGTGAGGCATCAACAATCACATCTGGAAATTTTTATACAAATGGCAGGAAAGCCAATGACTCGGGTCACAAATATTTCACGCTCTCTCTTTGCCAGAAACACAGGACAAATGTGGTTTAAATCTGCCTCCCTATAAATACACACACTCACACTTGCAGGATTCTCTGCTACGGCTAATACTTCTGTATGCAAAAGCAGAGCTGGTCAGCATGCCTCCCATCTCACCCAGCCTGGACGTGGTCAGAACTGAGAACCTGGATGCTGGGTGACAACCGTGGCCCAGGTCAGCTTCTCATTAGGATAAGGCTCATGAGATGGCAAAGACAACCAAACTGACTGTAGATACCAAGCACAGAATCAAATTACATGGATGAGCACTTTTAAAGGCTGCTGCAGCCTCAGCCTTCCAGACCCAGATTCTCCAAGAGACCACAGGAGAGGCACACCCAGCTTCTGCCTGATGTGCAAGCTCGGCATAGCTTTCAAAAGCTCACCTTTCAAGGAAAAATGTTGCCAGTCATCCTTCAGTGCCCACCCTTTCTTGCCTCAGCTGCTAACAAGCTTGCTGCAGAATGGTGGTGGCAGTAGCTATGCTGTCTATCCAGTCATATTCAAGAAGAGATTGCTCTGGTTCTTGCCGATGATACACCAGTTCATCTAACTAGTTTGACCTGGTGTGCACTGGTGCTGCAAAATGTTACATCAGTTCAACACATCTCGGTAGCACGGACATCACTCTCAGGCATCAAAGTCAGGACTCAGATCAAGCCTTAACATCAGCACTGGTTCCTACCAGTAACAGTGCATTCAGCTTCATTTTGGGATGAAGCCTCAGAGAATGCTCAATATCCTCAGCGCTGTCCGTGTATGAGCATTACAGCTGCAAAGGATGCTCACAGCTTCCTTACTGTCTGTGACATCAGTGCTCCCAGGACTGAAGAGATGTTCTTCTCTTTTCTTTGGTATTAGCCAATTCTTACAAGAACCACAACTTCTTTGGTTCTTTGCTCTTCTGAGACGTCCTGCTAGCGCAGATGCTTCTGTTGGTCCTTCGCAATAAATGCTGATTTAGAAGTCTCCTGGGTGCGATGGAGCGTGCAAGGAAGGCAGAACTGGGCAGGAGCAGTTTACACACTTCTAATGAGGCAACTCAGATCCTATCTATGGTAACTTTGTGTCGCTCCAGGGATAAAGAGACTGCCGAAGTGACTTAACTATATGCCAGAGGGAATCTCCTACTACTCCAAGCAATCCATTTGGCAGTTTTTCATTCCTTCTGCCCTCGGCATAGTGGATATGACAGTAGCTATTTACAGAGCTCTGCCAGCCCCTGGGTAGGAAGATATAAGTGCACTGCACTGAGCTGCAAACCTACAGCAGCCTAGTGCCTGCAGCTCCAGGATGATGAAGCTGCTTAGTAGACTTAGAGCAAAACATTCTCCCTCACCAAGGAGACTGCCCACAGCTAAAGACACCTTTGAATATGCTTTACCTACTTCTGAATGCCCACTGTTATGCTTCATGCCATCAGAATCTCTAATGGACAAGAGTTAACAGCACCCAGTTACTGCATCTCTTGTTTTTTTGTGCTTGAACCATGGCATTTAGCTAGAGCACCTGGCCATGTTTTCCTTCATCTAAAGCTTTAAACCAAGTTGGCAGGTTCCACGTATGTTCAAGCAAGAGTTGGCCATGCAAGCAGAAGAGCAGAGCAAGATGTACATTCCCTTGAAGTCAGTGGAATTCTAAAGGAAAAGCATTTAAAATTGACAATTTAAAATTGACACATACAATTTACCTCTAGTCTCACTTGCTATTTTTTAGGTTTTTTTAGCAGCCAGGCTAGAACATGTGATACCGCTAGTACCTGTCCTAGTCACTCTAGTCCAGACCATGTACTGCCTTAACTGTTACCTTGTTAGCCTCATTGTTTTGGAGTTTTCCTTGGGATTTCCTACAACGTTCATTACTGGAAACAGATCAGTGAACTGACTGACAAATTCATCGTGGATGGTTCCCACTGCTCTCTTCTGCAACTTTGGGAGTTCCCCCGAAGCCCGGACCAGGCCAGCCATTACCCCTGCAAGGGGTAATGCAAAGAACTGAAAGAAACTGAACCAAGTAGGAGCAGAAATGTTTGGAATCCTCATTCAGAGTGCTGACAGACACTGCCGCGCTCTGATTTATTCTCTGTAGCCTTTTTAAGGGCACACATTAAAATGACCTCCCCACGTGTCTCTACCAGTGCTCATCTGGTATGCCACAGGTGTGAGGCTGTTGCTGCTCTTAACATCTTTTAAATGTTCCACCAGATGAAGAGATGAATTCCCTTTGTTCCTCAGAGATGCAGTTTCTTTCATTTCCTGCATAAGGATGCAGTCCACACTTCCAGTGGAGGGAACAGATGATGTAGGCCTAGAGGGTAAGGGTGTATTTGCATGGGATGGGTTATCAGGTGATTTTGCACAATTAATCATATATGCCCAGTGGGCTATATGAGGCTGGTAAAAGCAATACATTGCTGAGGCTGTGCTCTGTTTTGCAAGAGCTCAAGAGAAGAAACCATCCTTTCAAATCCCTTTGCTCTCAAGCCCATGGACACAGTCCCCTTAAAACCAAAGCTGAAAGAAAGGACCCTGATTTGACCTATTTGCATATGTGATTATGCAAATCAACCTACTGCATCTTATCCCATGGCAGCAGACCTGCCACACTATGCTGCAGAAGAGCCTCCAGGTCTGTGCCACAGTGGAGAAGAAGATTGGATTATAGAAAGGGACATATGTGTGAAAACAGGTCCTAGCTGCATATTCACAGCTCATCAGCAGGCACATGGGAAAAGTCAGCTTTAACCCTTCACGGTCAGAGAAGTGGGGGAGAGGAAGGTGGTGCAGCAACCACAGAGAACGCTTAGATGTAACACAGCAACCTTCGCTAGAATGTGTTTAAGGAGAAGCATCCTGCGACCATGTAGGCATGCAGCAGCCTGCTGTGTGCAAGAGCATCAATGCCCTTAAGCCACCAACTAGAGCAGGAAGTCACCAGAAATCCAGATGGTGCAAGGCGTCCAACCCCGGGATCACCACAGGACGAAATGCCTCACTCACACGCCTGTCACTTTGTGCCGTGGGTGCACCACCTGCTTGTGCCTCACCAACGTGCACGCTGCGCTACCCACTGCTGCCATCTGCCTCCAGGCCTCCACCCGTCCAGCTGCCATCCCATAGAAAGCATCCAAACCACTGCTGGCTGCACTGCCTAGGTGTCCGGGACATGCCACAGCCCAACACCTCCTTGTTTTTTATTACAGATCTGCCCACCCAGTGCCCCACTACCTCCTGGGGCGGCTGGGCATCGGCCCCGTGGGGTGCTTCCAGAAGGCAGCTCCTTACCAGTGGTAGGCTCAGGTCAGTGCAGCAGCACTGCTAGGGTTAACGCATCCCCTGGGCCACGTATCTCAGCATCTGTAGGAAGTGGAACATTTGTAATGCTGTGAGGAAACTGCTGCGTGGACTGGACGACAGAGGCAAAGAGACCGGGCCCCATCTCCATCAAGAGGAAATAGAAGCAGTGTTCAGGGATGCATGGAAAGTGCTGAGTAGTCACAAGACATATTTTGCAAGCTCTAAATAATCTCTTACTAGGGCTAATAAGGCACCTCCCACAAAAGTATGAGAAATAACAGAAGGAAAAAGAATTGCCACTTCTGGAGACCACGGGCCATATGCACCAGCCATCTCCCAGGAACGGATTTCAAACTGACAGTAACTTCAGGGCTCCAAGAAACGTCCCAAAGCAGAAGTTAGAAAGTATCTGGATTTCTCTTTGTTTTGAGTTTTAAACTCAGGCTGGTTTTGGCCAGGAGTCACTCAACCTTTAAAGCCAACCTGGCCCAACCTAAAGTTTCCAAAGCAGGGCAAATGAAGTGGATCTGGCTGAGTTTCCTTTGGAGGGAGGGATTTTGCACGTGTGACACAAATTCAAAGCAAAAAGTTTTTCTGGGGGGAGTTGGTTTTGTTTCATTAATTTTGCCAGGGCTAGGCACACAAGGAGTGGGTTTAGCAATACTACAGGTTGACCAAAGCCACTAACATCTCTTCAAACACTGCTGGTTTTACCTGCCCTGGCTCGGTTACCCTCACCCACCCTTTGTACACACGCAGAAAAGCACGCTGCCGTGCAGAAGCTGGTACTGGCTGACTCTACCTCATCTTCCTAGGGCATGCAGAACCCAGGTGAGAACAAACAACGCTGAGTCAAAACCAAACTTAGCAAAGCAGCAGTGCTACACGCAGCCCTAGCAGTCCCAGAGGGCCTCACTTCAAATATCCACGGTTTGAAATGTAAAAAATAAAATTTCTTCGCTTACAGGATTCCACATCCTTCTAACCCAATCTTACAGCTTTGATGCCCCTCAAAGGCAAGAACAAATGTACAAAACGAGGGCATCTGTGCTGCAACTGTGCTCTAATCCTGCAGTTTAGATGCCAGTTTCCTCTTCTGTGGTAGAAGGCCCTGTGCAGAGTCATTCTCTGAAACCATCAAGCAACCATGAGTTTCTCTTCATTATTTCAGAGTTAAACCAGGGGTTAGCCGCGGAGTTCCTTGCACCCCAGCTGCACTGCTCTAGCCACGGCACTGTATTGATTCTGTAGTTAGAAGGATGACACCATAAGAACAACATCCGTATAGCTCCAGCACAAAATATTCTGGCAACTTGCAAGACAATTACTAAGCTTCCATTCATTTGTGTTTGTTTCCTCACAGTGGAATCCAGGGTATGTGGTGGTGGAGTCCAAAGCCCTAGAGGCTTGCACATGACTGCCAGCCATGGCCACTCCAGAGAAGAGCGATAAAGCAATGAGAAAGAAGGAATCCAGCTGTGGGAAGGAACATCCGTATGGACAAACCCATCCTGCTGAGCACTGCAAGGAGGAGCAGGGTGCTGAGTTCAATGCATCCTTAGGGACGGAGTCCGGAAGCAATGGGAAGGACTCTTGGATGTGCTCAACAACAGCAGGACGAGCTAGCTATTGGCAAGGACCCTCACTGGCAGCATTCACATATTATGTTTCTCTTTCCCCTTTCCTGAACACCCACAGCAGGCCTCTGCCACTTGAAGGTATCAAGCCTGTATATGCATGGACCTACCGTGTTACCTGTACGTGAATCCCGCTGTTTTTGTGCAGTCAGGAACCGACAGACAGGTGGGAATGCTGCAGTACCCTGCAGAGACAGCTGCACCAGCTGGGAAGGTAGCTGCTGGATGCTGGAGGCCACTTTTTCCAGGGGTGAGACTAAGGCAGTCTAACAAGACCGAGTACTTCTTGCCCCTAATAGCTGGGCGCTCCTCTACCCTCTGTTCCTCCATGTGTCCTTCCCCTGCAGTCCTGTGGCACCAGATAAACCAGCCCAAGGTCGAAGCACGTTTGAAAGGCAGCTGCTGTAACACCCATAGTGCCCTGGCCCTGGCCCGAGTGAGAGCATCGCCGACACGAGGCATCCGGCACCAGCCAGCCCAGAGGTTAGGCTCCAGCAACGTCTTCCCATCCCCGGCTGGCTGTCTCCCATGTGGCGACGCACAGCACTATTCACCCGGCCATTGGCCCAGCCCAAAACTGTTTTTATTAGAAAACACTAAGGCAAGCCTTTCCAAGCCTCAGAAGAATCATCTTGTAAAGATCTGGGCTTGAGATGCCAAATGATTGCTGCTTTGGCGGAGTCTGCACATTCATTTTTTATTGGTCACAAACGCTTTCCAGATGCTGGCATGCTGGCTGCAGATTGCAACTCTGGGGACTTGGCTCCCAGCCCCAGTCACTTTGTTAAACTCTTGACCTGCTGTGGGTTAAAAGAAGCGGGGAATGGGACTGAGTCACCACGAGGGCATTGCTAAGAGAGAGTGCGCTGCACAGCAGAGACCCATTTCAGCAGCTTTCTGTGCTCAGCTGGCATGGAAAACATTTAAGGTGGTCCACAGCAATCCAGCCCCGCTGCCAAAGCTGGTGAGAACTGCAGCACGACACCAGCCCAGGGCTTAGCAGCGGGGACGGAGAGGCTGTCCCGCAGCTGGATTTTCCACACTACAGCCCATACACTTTCCATCTTTTTTTCCTCTGCACAAGTGGATTTCCCATCCCTCCTCCAAGACTAAAGCGATCCTCTGAGCCAGAGCCATGTGCAACATCAGACTGAAAGCTGAAGCCAGGAAACCTTCCTTGGACTCAGGTTTCATGACAAGCCTGAAGCTTGTTCATCGAGGAGGTTTGCAAATCTTTGGGGAAAAAAAGACTTTCTGGATTCTGAGTTGTTACAGGATGTCCCAAATAAGGGAAAAATGCGAACAAGGAGGAGGAAACACCATTTTGATAGAGCCGTTTGATATTTTTCTGATTGGAAAAAATTCCCTTTGAAAAACACAGCTGTTAAAAGGAATTGTTGTCACCCCCCACACATCATAGGGGATTTTTTTTAAATTAACATTTTGCATTTTTGATATATTTCTCAACAGAAATACTTTTGCAGTTGATGCCTTTCTTTAATCTCAGCTTTCAAGAGGAAAAGGTTCGCTTAAAACCTCAGTTCAAAGAGAACTCCATGAATGGAAACAAAGTTTTTCATTCAGCCCTGAAACATCACATCCAGGCAGAAGAAGTGTTTCAGAGAAAATACTGCCATTTGGAGCTTCTGGACAGAAAGGAAAACGGTTCTTGTCTACTGCTGGCCCGAGCTGTGGCTCACAGCTCTGCCCTCTGCTGTGTGGGCACCCAGCCATAGGGCTCCGAGGAGCAGGTTCCTCGGCAAGGCCTCTGCCCAGGACATCCCCTCAAAGCTCTTGTTCCCAGTTCTGTAACCAAACGCTGCCTAAAGCACAGCCCTGACGAGCTCCTGGTGTCTCTGCGAGGGGCAGGCAATGAACAACGCTGCGCTGGATGCCGGGCAGGACAGCAGACAGACACTGGTGCAAGGCTGCAGACTCCCAGCAATGAATCAGCTCCTCTGGCCCTCCCAAAACGCGGTGGTGACAGCTGCTCTTGATGCCTGGGCAGGTGTCTGCTGCTGCTTCACCTGCAGGGGAACTGTGAGCAGAGGTCAGACTTCCTCCCATCTGCCCTCGTAGCTGGGGCTGGAGAGTTGCAGGACAGACAGAGGCTGCTCGGGGATGGCGAGGTGCCTCGCTGCTCTTTTACTTGTTGGCCTTTAACCTTTCTTCAAACCTGCGTGGGAGCTTGGTGTCCTCCACGGGCAGTTTGTTACCCTGGGGCTGGCAGGGCTTCAGGGTCTTGACCCAACCAGGGAGGAGACAGCGGGCCAGTGCTCCTCAAGCCTCCAGTAGTCGCTCAAGAGACAGAAACCACAGGCAGAGGGTTCAGCAAGTGAGCTGCGACCTGCCTCTTTGTACTCCTTCTCCTCAGCAGAGCCTGCTCACAGCTCTCCTGCCCACGTTTGCAGGCAATGCACAATCCTTTCAGCGTACAGAAAGCACAGCGCTCCTGAGGGAGCACAGGGAGAAGGTTTTATCCCATGGAGCTGGTCCAGTGATGCTAATTAAATCATCACATTAGAGCTGGGGGCTTTCTTGAGTAAGTGTTGCCACTTGAGCTGAATCGCACCTCAGAGCACGGCCAGGTGTGCTGCCTAGCCTCCAGAGAGCCCTGCCAAACTCATTTCACTTGTGATGCTGAGGCCAATTCCAGCAGAGTCTCCAGAGATTAATAAAATAGTGGAGCAATCCAGAGTAAACCCAAAGCCTTTTAGGTTCAGCCAAGTGGAAATCCAGCCTGACTCCCCACCCAAAAACAAACAACTGAGAAAAAGAAAGAAAGTTTTACATAATAATCTATCCAATGTTGCAGCAGACAGGGTTTCTCCGAGGACATTATGTAATGTCTCGTAAGGGCTTTTAGCTGAATTATCAGGTGACTTTCACAATTACTAAAGCAAAAAACAGAAAACCAGGTGAGCAGTGGGTGTGAGAATACACATCTGCCTGTTGTGCATTAGCAGCAGGAGAAGTAATTCAGAATCAATGAGATCTCATTGGAGATAAGCTCATGCTACAGACCTCAGATATGGAGCTGACGAGCTGCAAAAGCAATAGCTGCTCAGGGCTATGTTCTGCTCCAGGTCTGTCTTCTCCAGCGCTGAGGAGGGCCCTTGTAGAGGGGCAGGCTCCCCAGGGTGAGCTTTGCTGCCTCCTTGTATCTTTAGGCCTTTGCACCAGAAGCTCTGCTCTGGGACTGATCCTCTGTGCCACAGAGGCACAAAGGAGAGCTCTCGGCTATTTCCTCTCTCGTCCGCCAGGATGGGAATGATGCAAACCCTCTCGGTGAACTCACACTGCATATATGCTGAGGTTTACTCGCATGCTATTCTCTCCTCCACCCCTTCTGCTGAGGACTGTGGGGACCCAGGACGGAGGGAGGACACACGCAGACACCACCAGTACATCAGACACAACCCCTGTGACAGCTGACCGAGGTCTATCTTAACCTCATTTCCAAGCAAGAAGGGTGAAAAAAAGCAAAACACACAACAAAAAGCATCACTTCTTGGGAGTTTGTTCCAGAATCTCTCTCCTCTGATGGTTGGGAACCTTCTAATTACCAGCCTAAAGTTACCAGTGGCTAGATGACACCCATCTGTTCCCGTGCCAGTGTTGCCTTTAGTTGAAGCAGTTGCTCTCCCTCCTTGGCATTTGCTTCCCGTTTTCCTCCCGTCCTGGTGTATTTATAGAATTTCTCTCAGCCTTGCACTTTGCCAGACTAAACTTTTTATGGAGGGGAGATTTATCTAATGGGTTTCACATTTGCTTTTGCTATGGATTGGTCAGTTATTTGTCCAGTCTCGATGTCTGAGCGGGGAGCTTTGCTTTTGCATTAGCACTGTCCTTTTAGCGTGGCACTGAAGAGGCACCTCATACATTCATCAAATGAGTGAATGCTCTATTACTATGCAGAGTGCTTTGCAACAGAATAAACACTCTCAGGAAGATAAATCTATGAAGTGCTATCAAAACAGTAGTGATTACTGAAGCAACAGGTAGATATTAGCACACAGAAGGCAACAGAAGAACCAGGTGGATGATATTGAGAGCCGTTTGAAAGAGAAAAGAAAAGGCACTTGGCAGAATGAAGAAGAATTAACTTCCAGACATGTGGAGAGACCTTGCACTGCTCTTCAGCAAGCCCCTCGGCAACACACCAATGGTGGATGGCAGCAGAACAAACTTTTCCTAAATAAGAGGAAAAAGCAAATGTTGCCAAAATTGTTATACTAAAATTTATCTTCAGTAGATGATTCTGGTAATATCAGAGTAATTCTGCACATGGAATCATAAAATTACACCACAGCAAACTTAAATCCTTAATATCCTCTCACTTGCACCATAACCAAATTGCTAGTATCATAACCCTGGTGCGGCAAAACCAGCCAGACCAGCAGAGGGGAATGCCTCTTGGGTGAGTACATGCAAGTCTCACATGATGGTGGGATGAGATAGGAAGGCTTTGTCCTGTCTGCCTTTAGGTTCCCTACTGCTTTTCAGTATAGCACAATAGCCTGGATGCACACTGTCCTCTCTGCTGTGAGTGCAACCCAGAGCTACACGTGTGAACCCAAGCCAGTGTATGCAGCTGGCTTAAATACATCTCTGCGAACAGCATTCCCAGCAAAGATTGCCTTAGACTGTATTTTCTGGCTAAATTACTGCTCACATTTTGAAGTAGTTTCAACTGGAGACATTTTTAAGCCTAGATTTTGTACATGGGTATAAATCAAACAATTCCTCTGACAGATGAGGGAATTGTTCCACATTTCACCAGGGCAGCTGATACAAAAATCTCGTATTTTGTGTCCCTCCCAAACTCGGCTGCAAAGTCCTGTTGGTTAACTAACTTTTGTGTTGCATCCCAGAGCAGCTGCATCAGGCCAGAGAGCGAGCAGCTCTGGGAGTTAATCTGTTACTCCGTGATGCTTCCTACTGAGAGAACAGTGCCCAACAAGACCTTAGCCCATTGCAATTTAAGATAAGTGCAACTGATTAACTATAACTCTGGGAATCACCCAGAAAGCTTTAAAAACACATTCATATTTCTCTTAAATGCATTTAGCACCTTTCTGCAGATTTAAAGACTTTTCCTACCCCCTGCAACAAGCCACCAGCAGCACCTACTGTTTAACTGATGGGTGACCTACCGACAGCTCTTCTGCTCCCCCTAGCACTTGTTCCTACTACTGCACATTATTTACTGCATTGCCAGTTACTGCTAATTTGACAATGTTCTGATTGCAAAGCAGGGTTTCACCCTCCCACATGAAACCTGTGGGAAGGGAGGATGGGTAAAAGGAGAGCCATGAGAAGATTCCCCCGAATCGACCTGAGAACAGCTGGTTTCAGCTCACCCCACGCGTACTGGTCCTCACTACTGCACTTACCAGGAGCTGCAAGAGCTCACTCATCCCAGGGCCCACCACAGGCCAGAAAGGCTCCTTGGCTTTGCCTCCATTCCGGGACCTCATTCTCATTGCACCCTTTTTGCATGTACCCAACACGCAACGAGAATAATAAAATAATAATAATAAATCCTAGCAGTCCTTCCATGAAATTTGTCTGATTTTAATTCTGTTATGTGTAATTACTACTACCTTAACATGTTTGCAGGACATGCTGATGCTAACGCACAGATCCAGTAGATGTCAAACCTCACCTCTCACGGCTCTGTGCAAACAGATCAGTTCCTTTCTGAACAGGCACTCGGCCACAGCTCTAGCCCGAGCTGTAGGTACAGCAGCGAGCTGCTGTGTGCATGCAGCATGCTACCTTCCGCTTCAGGGCATTTCCAGCACCAACATCAGCACCTGGCATCAGCAGTCTCATTCCTTGCTGCCGTCCTCTGTGACTCACCAACTATTCTCACATTCTCACCTGGCTCTTTGTAAGCCTCTCTCCAGTAATGAATCAATAAACATACACATCCACATCCACGTCCACATCCACACTCCAATACCCCAAACCTCCACCTGACTTTGTCAAGAACAGAAGGGTGGGTTTGAGGTCTCTTAGGAAGGGACAAAGATTGATGTTGATGCCCAGAGCCTCATCCTCAGCTATAGTAAGTCTAGGCTCTAAGAAGGACAAGTGAAAGACAAGAGTTCTAGGGAGCAATCCTTGGAAAGAAAACTCCCAAACTGCAATGGACAGACCATTTAGGTTCCCTGAGGTTAAGACAGGAAAAGGTTCCCCAGAACACACCCTGGGGTAAGGGAGATAGGAGTATGACTAATTCAAGCACATCTTACCTCCTTCCCTCTGGAAATTAAGGAATAAACACTGACTGGCAGGGAGCTGCCAGCAGTTTGGGACTGGGACTCGGTCTCCAGGTATTCCTGGCTCTCACCTCTTTGCTGACTGGCAGATCAATTTCTGTCTTAAACACTTCCCCATTTCTTTCTCTATAACTCATGTCTTCCCTTAAGAGTAAAATGAGTCAACTGGTTAGCAGAACAAGAAAAAGAAGATATGTTTATTAGAAGCTGGATAGAGTATCTTCTATTGCAGGGATTGGCACAGATTCCTACCCATGAAGATAAGCCTCCACAGCCTTAGCTCTAGGAGGTTAGATCTTCCTCCAAGCCTGATAGGCCTCAATCCAGTGGATAGTACAAAGAGATCAGGGATTTCCCCAATATTGGTTCATATTATGGTAAGTTCCACCTTCAGGCAATATATAATGGATGAATTATAAACCCTTGAAACCTTGTTTTCTAGTACAAACATTGGTAGATCCCTGAAACAGTCATATTGATATAACAATTAGACTGGATAGCATTGTTTGCTAGCTGCAGTAATATACCACAATAAACTATAATCTACCATGATATTATAATAGTGTACTGTGATTACAGCTAAAACAAATATTATGCTGAACTGTGTGCATGACACTTTCACATTCTTCTACTCAGCCACACCTAAGGCAACTGCTTTAGCACATAGAAAAATCTTAGCTTAATTTCAAGTTTCACAACGGCAGAGAATGCCAAAACAAATTGAAGTCCACAGGCAGAACAAAAGGAAATGGAAAGTTGTGAGACCAGCATGCTTCAAAAAGAAAAAGGGAAAAGACTGGCAAAGGCGATAACTGGCGAAAGGAATCACTTCACAGAACCTGAAGGAAGGGAGCGCTGGGAAGAGCACAGAGCAACACGCTTAAAATGGTCACAGAAACATTTGATTTCCATTTACTATTATAGGAGTAACAAAATAAACTGCACGTGTGCAGTGACAAGCTACTTGGTCATATGTGTTTAATGCATATACATCTGAAGAACACAGTAAGTAAACATCCAAACCAGAACTATGCTGCTGTTCCTGCTCTAAGAGCAAGAAATGTCGTAGCTGGTCTATGGGCTGCCGTATCCTGCGGAGAGATGTTCAGACTATTGCTCAACCACTTCTAATGTCATTTGGTGCTTCAAGAAACCTGGTGAGAAAGTTTACAGAGCCATAAATAAAAGTCTCTTACACCTAGATCATCACTCAGGTGTCCTGACTGATAGCAATTACTAATGGTGCTTCATAACTGCCGACAGCTGTATAGTTTAGAAACCGTGATGTGGTAGATGCCTGAAAGCAGGAAGATAAATCCATATTCAGGTAGAAATGAAAAGAAAACATTTCCATTTGCTAACCTTAAAATGCATGCACATGCACACAGAAACGTGCGCACACACACCCTACTTTATCGTAGTGCTTTCCTAACACGGTGCTGCTGCACAGTGCCTCAGAGCTTTGGGGTGACTGCTCTGAATGCTTTAGGATGCCTTTTCCTACTCTCCAACCTAACGTAAGAGTCATATTTTTTTGGCTTTTACCCATGCCTGATTTTGTTCAGTGCCAGTCAATGTTATTGTTTGCAGTTATACGTACAGCAGACTTTTCAAAATGGTGTTGAATATTTATGGTAACCTCACAGTTGCAGTGAGCAGGCTGGACAGGTCTTCCTGGCCTTCAGAAAGGACAGAATATGCCACCTCTTGGTTCCGCTCCTAACCCATCCTCAAACAGCCTTTTCATTTGCCTATTTCAGCGGTGGATCCACCCAAGACATGAAAGGCTCAGCAACCATCATGCAAACTAGCAGGGGTTTGTGCAGAAGTTCTACATACAGGCAGAGCTACAGTTACCGTGGTTCTGGTCAGCCCCATAAACCCAGCATCTCCAACCTTTCAAGCAGTGATGACTTCCTCTACCACACCACACTGTCACAGGTGACCCGAAGTTGTAAACAATTTCCATCCATCCCAGCCTCACCCTATTCTGAACAGCAGCACGTGAAACACTGCTCGTTCATGTCACAAGAATGTGAAAATTAGGGGGTCCGTATTGGAACTGGTGTGCAATTACACACTTAGCCTGGAATATCACAAGCACAGTTTGCCCTGAAATCACCCAGTAAGCACTCTTGCCACAGCAATAGCTTTCTGCTGCATTCTCGGTGCTGTTACAGGTGTGCAAGTGTCAGTGGAGCATGAACTCTGCATGCATCCTTTGGAGTTAAGGGAGCAGGAGGGATCTACCAGCGCTGCAGATAGGCAGAACCACCACCGAAGTGGTTCTGCTATCTCTGCACTAGGTTTTAGTCACTCTGATTTAAGAAGAGGAAAAAAAAAAGATCGGGGGCTGGTGTTTTATGAAAGCTGAGATTCTCCCCCTCTGCGTGATACCATCTGCCACATCAGAGAAAGCCCAATAGCCCTGGGCTTCCCATCCAGCTCTGGCTCCTCTATGGCAAAGCTGCAAACAAACTCTAAATTAGGCAATGACTTCAGGTAAAAGCAGAATTACCACACACTTGTCAAGCAGCCAATTCAAAGCAGCCAGACCTGAGGAGGAGGCTGAAAGTTTGATGGCTTTGCTGGCTTGATTGGCTGCCATGATGCCCAGGATGACCGATGACACTTTCTTGGGCAGGAGCCATCTCCTGCAGGGCCCACACCCTGATCAGAGCCTGCTCTCCTTCAGAGCAGCTGGCTCCTGCAGCGGGTTCACTGCCTAGATGTTTGCTTCTTCCCGACTCCTGAAACAGGTCCTACTTGTACGGGGGCTTGGTGTGTCTCTGGTATTTATAATTACACATTTATTGAGCTTGTGCAATCTAAGCTCCAGCTTCAGGCCAAAAGTTCATTGCTAGAGGGGTTCAATAAAGAATTTCCTCCTGAGAATGGAGCATTACATCACTTGCCAAGTGTGTCAGGCGGTTTTCCAGCCTCCTGTTGGGTCACGCCCATTCTGACTGCTCTAGTGCCTGGGTACTGTACATACCTGCCCTTACCCTTATGCTCCATTGGGCTAATCGTGGCTATACTCCAGACGGCAGAAAATTGAGTGAGGTTGTCGCACTGCCCCTGCTGTCACAGCCCTGGAACCCAGAACAGCTGAGGGAGTGCCGAGAGGTCAATGCAGAAGGATGAAATCAAGCTTCCAAGCAGCAGACTGCCAACGTTTAATATTTTGCAGGTACACCCCTAAAATACCAGACCATTCATTGCAAATCTCAACACACAAGCAGTCAGTGGTGACAATGACATTTTTTCTGACGGAATGCTTAACCATCTCCCAGCCACACCGCTTATCATGCTAGAGACAGTGCATACATTATGGAAAGTGACGGTTCCTGCCCCAAAGAGTTCAGGCTCTGTTTAGCACGAGATCATGTTCCTTTTGCTTTATTCTTGTAGCATCATGAAGAGCTGAATCCTTAATAGCACATTATCATCTCCCACTTAAAGGAATACAAATACTGGTCCTTCCACGTGCCATTAAAGGATCATTGCCTGCCTCTTCACACGCACACGCCTGAAGATGCTGAAGTTAAGAAAACAGCTCATTTCCAATTCCCCTATGGGATATTGCATCATGCTGCCATGCGGATCAACAGAATAATCCTACTGCAAACAGAAACTAGAACCCTTACACGGACGGTTTTAGTTTATTATGGAGCTTGATACCACTGCTGGTAGAAAAAGTAGGGGAACGAGGCTCATTTTGTTATCGATGTCACAAATCACGTGAGTACAAATGCTCTTCCTTAGCCTTGCTCTATCGGCTTCCTCAAGGACCTTGCTGCACTAAGCCTTACACCGCTTGCAACGTGACAAACAATTCTGCAGGTGGGGAAACACAGGCAAGAAGTCAGAGGTGTCTTTTCAGGGGATCACGCCGAGAGTGAAAGCTGCACCAAGAGCAGGTACCTGCTGCTAGTCTGTAACCTCCCCTTGTGGAACACCGGGCTGAATTTCCTCCACCC